GTACAGGGTCGCTATGAGTTGGTACCGACTCCACAGCACCTAACAACAACAACAACAGAGTCTTTCTAGATTGTATACACAGGTTGTTTTTTATGGTAATATTTTTAAGTTTCAATGGAAACTTAAGGTTTTGATCAACTATTGGTGGCTTCCTGAAGCACTGAATTAAGAAATTCTAAGGCTTTTTTGACTTCAGTAGGAAAAAGTACCCTGATCGATTAGCCATGCCTGCTTTGGAGGTGGAAAAGCGATGACAGAGCTAATGCAGCATAGTTATGAATATTAACTTGTGCAGCTTGTTTCAGAGAAAACAAAGCATTGTTTTCTAAATAAATTTAATATTAGGTAATATTCTTTCAAATAACCGCTTCTTTTTACTACAGCTTCTCTTGTGGGCATACTAAAATATGGTGTGGTGCTATGGGTTATGTGCCCAGTTGTGAAGTTGGTTTGAGACACAAGATCAACTGATCAAACTCACCAGCCGTTCCTCAGAAACCCTATACAGGGTCACTATGGGTCGGAACCAACTCTATGGCACTTAACAGCAACAATAATAGTGGATAAGGCCAGCCAAATGAATAAATTCAATTATTTAGCATTAAATACCAAATCTAAACATTTTCCCATAAAAATGTCTGAACAAAGACTTTTTTTTACATTATTGCTAAAGTTGAAATCTGTAGTAAGATCAGTGCCGCATAAGTAGATGGAAAAAAGTTTTTTATTAGTTGTAATATCAAATTGTATCATCACTGTCATAATTTTAAGATCGTTAGATTTTTAGATCATTTATTTAATCAAAACCATTGGATTTATTTGTTTATATTGAATAAGACTACCCACCTTTAATAATAATAATATCCTGGTCACTGTTTTAACTATCAACTTTCAGGGATGAGGAGAAGCCTGATTTCTAGTGTTTGATAATTTCTGTGGTGTAACTATTTCCACCATGGCTGATCTTTCAGCCTAACATGCTGTCATTAAATGTGGAGTTGGGAAGCAGTGCACAGAGCTGGCATTCTGAAGTCAATGCAAACTGCCTCCGAACAAACTAACATTGTCTTTTTGTAGACCATTTAAAGATTACTTTTTTAAATAGATTTGTTCAAATGAATTTGTCTATTTCAAATACTGAATTCCATGGTACATTGTAAACATGATTAAACCCAAACTAAACCAAATTCACTGCCATCAATGATTCTGATTCTTAGTGACCCTCAATAGGGTTTCTGAGACTTTACATCTTTTGGGGAGCAGACAGCCTCATCTTTCTCCTAAGGAGACAGATAAAGAAAAACATAATGAGCAATTAAGCCTGCCTCCTATACAAGGGTAAGTCAGAAAAACTGCTACTTGGTATGCACCTGAAAGGCACTGAGAAGCCTCAGAAACCATATACAGGGTCACTATGAGTCAAAACTGACACATGATGACCCTGTACTGTTGTTGTCAAGTGCCGTTGAGTTGATTCCGACCCATAGCGACCCTGTATAGGGTTTCCAAGGAGCAGCTGGTGAGCTTGAACCACCGATCTTGCAGTTCAAACGGCTTTGCATTCTGGTGCATTAACCCACAGCGCCAGGTTTCCTATATATGGTTTCTGAGGCTTTTCAATCTCTTTTTCCTGTCTCGTGTTTTCGAGGTGGGTTTGAACTGCCCACCTTATAGTTAGCAGTCCAATGCTCACAGTGCCACCAGAGTGCTTGTAAACATGTTGTTGTTAAGTGCCATTGAGTCAGCTCTGACTCATAGAAGCCCTTTCTATGGTTCGCAAGGAGCAGCTTGTATGTCATACAAAATTTTGAACTTTGTTAAGAAATTTTATGTTACCTGAAATTTATTGGCGATTTCTATATTCTGAAGATTCAATAAAATGTTTCTAAATTGGATTCAAATATACATATTAATCATAGACATGTAATGAAATGCATGTCACAGATTAAATAATGGATCAAATGTCATAGAGACCTCTTAATATTGACATAGTGTGTTGCTATAACTCTACAGAAAATGGAATAGTCTATAAAAATTAAATAATGTATTGCCAATATGGAATTTATTTCTCAATGTGTGTGTGTGTATATGATTGTATTTATAGGCCCAAAGCATAAAAGGACTAAATTCAAATCAACAGCTCACTATGTATTATTGCTTAAAATAAATAGTTTTCTTTTTATTGTGATGTTAATCGTCTCCTATCTCTGATGCTGTTGTTGTTAAGTGTCATGGAATCAATTCTGAATCATTGAAACCCTGTATGGGATTTCTGAGGAGCAGCTGGTGGGTTTGAACTGCTGACCTTGTGGAAGGAGCTCTGGTAGCGTAGTGGTTACGAATCCGGCTGTGAACCTTAGGGACAGCAGTTCGAAACTACCAACTGTTTCATGGGAGAAAGATGAGGCTTTCTATTCCAGTAAAGATTTCCAGCCTCGGAAACCCTGTACAGGGTCACTATGAGTCGGAACCGACTCCGCGGCTCATAACAACAACAACTTATCCTATAGTACCAGCCCAGAACATAAGCATATTATACCTAAGGATTCAAGTAAGAGCCTCTGTATTAACAGAGGTCAACTCTAAGCCAGTTAGGCAAATTGTTACTGGTGGTAAGTGCTGGCATGTTGGTTCTAACCCTTTTTAGAATTTCCAAGGCTGTACATCTTTGAGGTCACAGAAAGCCTCATCTTTCTCAGTGGAGCAACTGGTGGGCTCCAACCACATACCTTGTGGTTTAAAGTTCAGTGCTTACCATACAAAGTCATTGAGATCCTGAATTAGGCAAATAGGAAAATGGCAGTGGTTACCAGTGAGTGGTCAGTGTGGTAACGTTCAATCGTATTTGGGGGTGTAATTTACCAACAGAAACATAAACTGAAAACTCATTACTTACCTGGTCCTCCTTCTCTTGGGAGAAACAGAGGAAACTACCAAGTACTTTCCGCATACTAGGTATGCAATTAGTGCTAGTTGAATGGGAGCCAAGGAGTTCAAAATCTTACATAAGCATTTAAGATCCAAGAATATTCATGAGGAAGAGATCATGAACTCCTAATAAGTTAAATAAGTGTTTTCCCCAACAGGTACAAAATTCTAGAAAATTCAAGTATGATGAAAGAGGGCTTTTTCTTTGGGCATACCCATTAAGGAAACAGTATGGTATTTTGGAAAGAGTACTATTCAAAATGTCTAGAAACACAAGTTCTAGTCTGTGCTAATTTGTAAGCGCTAACGTGCCAGATATCTTTTCAAACCATTTAGATTCTCTAAACCTTAGTGTGTTTATCCATGGAATGAAATTATGTTAATTAATGGTTTCTTTGTCCTGGTGTGTTGCTGTAGGATAAGCATTGAACTGCTAATTACAAAGTCAGCAGTTCAAACTCATCAGCCTTTCCTCAAAAACCCTATACAGGGTAGCTCTGAATTGGAACCAACTTGACAGCACTTAATAACACCACACCATGTTCCTTTCTAAGGAGCCCTAATGGTGTAGTAGTGCCTCGACATAGGGGTTCGTTTCACGAGGAGGGGATACCTGACGGCGATAACAATACATCAAGAATACACAGAAGGAGACAAAGAGAGAGACAATGAGGCACCCCAAAGCCAGGGTGGATACATCACTGGTGGGCAGGCTTGGGACTACAGGCATCGTGGCCTCTGCAGGCAGCAACTCACTGCCCTGCCATCTTTTCTGCGTGCCCCTCATCTTGTAATGCACTGCAATCTTTACCACATGCCTTCCAACCAGTAATGCACACCTGGGGAGGCCCGGGCCTCTGTTTTATTTAGGGGAGGAGCTTCACACCAAGCTGGGAG